TAGTAGTAGTAGTAGTAGTAGTAGTAGTACTAGCAGTACTAGTAGTAGGAGCAGCACCAGCAGCAACGCGGCAAATACCAGTACCAGTACTAGTACTATTACCAGTAGTAGTAGTACTCGTGATAGGACGAGTGCTTGCAGTCGTCGTAGTAGTGGAAGTTGTAGTGTTAGGGGTAGAGTGGTAAAGTGGCAGAGTGGTGGAGTGGTAAAGTGGAAGTGGCAGGTCGAGGCGCTGCTGCTGCTGGGGGGGGAGGTGTTGTGGTGGTGGCTGTTGCTGCTGTTGTTGCTGCCGCTGTGATGGTATCAGCGGTTTCTCCGGGAGCAGGGGCTTTCCGATCGTGCCTACTGGGACAACCAGACACTCTCTGATATGAAGCAGACCCCAGGCTCTAAGCGTTGTAGCATCGTAGCATTACTGAGGCAGCCACCGATGTCCACGATCGTTGCCGACTTCCTGATCGTGGTGCCGCAAAATGTGGGTTCATAATGCACCACAAAGTTGTGAAACCAAGGCACGACGATCGTAATCGAGGTCCGGTAGTGGTAGTGGCAATACATGGTAGCAACCAGTCTTGTCGCAGCAGTAGCTGCTACGCAGCAGCTGCTGTTGCTGTGGCAGAGGCCATGCATAAGCAGTATGTCAGTGCACCATTCCTCAGCGATGTTTGGTGTGCATTTCTAGACCCAAGAGTAACCCAGGCATAAAAACCCTTTTTGGTTTAAAGGGGTTTATAAGGGAACCTGAACCCTAAAAAAGTGAATAAGGGCCTACTCTAGGTCCTAGATTTTGGGCCCTAGGAGCAGCAACTTGGAAGTCTGCTTCTGAGGGAAGAATGAAACCACGCACGCCCTCGAAATCCAACAGCCTCAAGCCCGGGCACTGAATTTCCACGCCAGCTAGGTGGTGCCAGAGCAGTAATAGCAATAACAATACCAATAGTCGTAGTAGTAGTAATCGAACTAATAGTAAACCAGAATAACCATAGAAATAATGCTAACATCAATGCCCATTTCAAATCATGCCAACTGGAAGGACGGAGAGCGAAATCATCAACCCATCCCAGACTCCGAAAGTCCCTGAAAGAGGGTGGACAAAAATAGGCCATGCCTGATCAGGACCTAGTTTAAGGCTTAGGGGCCTTAGGGGTTAGGGTTCCGGTTCAGGTATTAGGGTTTAGAGCTTAGGGATTGGGGTCTAGGGTTTAGAGTCACACATGCCTGGCACTCTAAACTTTAAACAATGCTGAGGTAGCCACGAGGCCATCCGCCGCCACAGCCGAGGCGCAACTCTGCTGGGCTGCATGGAAACCTGGCAAGAACCACGGGACCAGCAGCAGACCCTGTGTAGGGCCTAGGGCTTTAGGGCTATTCTGTTGTACAGGTTTCGGGCGTTGGGATGCGATGGGTAGTACAAGGTCGGAGGTTTAGCGTGGCTTGTGGTGAGGCTTTCGGGTGCATCGTTGAGGGCTGGGCTACGAAGTTGTGGGTGGAAGGCATACGCCGCGAAACCTGTGAAGCGGCGTGCAAGCTTCGCGACCTAACATTCCAAGGGTTGTAATCAAGGCTGATATTGACTGTTGTCGATAGTACCTTAGTAACTTAGTAGGGATAGAAGTACGTTAATGATTTCCTCGAGCCAGAACCCTGCATTTCTAAGTTTACACAATCCGAAAAGCCTAAAACCGATGGCAATTAGTGTCATGCTTATTGCTCTTCTGATTGACACTATCGTTCCCACTATTTCTGCTGGTTTTTCAACTATTACAAGTCCAATTAATGTTGGGGTTGCAAAGCTTTCTCTGGAAGGACTGATGATGGGCGGCTCTGTCACGGTCTCCCTACAGTATCGTGCTTGCCTGCCTGTGCAAGTGTTGCCAGGGTGCAGGTTTGGGGCTTGAGGGCTTTACTTGGAGGGTCGGAGGACTTAGTAAGTAGGTAGTAAGTAGACTTATCAGTACCCTAAACGGGACCCTGATTGGGGTTATGGTACTTATAAGTCCCTAAAAACCAGTTACTAAGTCCCCCGACCCTCCAAGTAGAGGTTGTAGATTTTAGGTGTGGGGACTTTCAGGATCAGGGTGGCCTCCCCTTGGAGTGCTTCGCTGCTGTTGCTGTGGTCAGATGAACCGAGCCCCCAAGCACGAAAAACCAACCCGAAACCCTTAATCCCAAACCCCATAAGCCCTAAACCCACAGCACCCTAAACCCTACCTTAACCCTGAATAGCCTACCTTTTTAAGGCTGCTTATTGTGATTTCTTTATATAAGTCCTTAAAAATGTAGATTCTTCACGGTTAAGGTAAACCCTATCTCCGACTCCGGGGGCTTTGGCCCAGGAATCGGATCTGTCAAAAAGCTGAGGCGTAGGCTCTTGCATTCCTCAGCCCGAAGCGCAGCAGGCTATGCCTCACAGTCTGTGGTTTACTTGGAGGTTCATTAGGGTTTAGGGTTTAGGGTTTAGGGTTTAGGGTTTAGGGTTTAGGTGGTTTACTTGGAGGTTCATGGGTAGTTATAAGTTGGGCTTTAAGTAAGGTAACTACGCTTACAACACATATTGAGGGACTTATAGCTCGACTTAGAACTACCCATGAACCTCGAAGTAGGACTTAGGGCCTAGGGTGTCAGGCTTCGTGCCCGGCTTAAAGCTCTCGGCTTTAGGATCGAACTTTCGGTCTCGGCAAGTACCTTCCCCGAGAACTCACCAAAAGTTGAAGAGCGTAATGCAAACCCTACTCGGCAAGTTCTGGAAGTAACATCATGATTCCGTACCAAAAGTGATAAACCTAACTTATCAGGACAGGAAACCTTAGCCTTAGCCCTCAAACCCTAAACTCAATGAGTCCCAGCCTGTAAACCGCACTGCTTATATTCGTAAACCCCAACCCCTAGACCGTACACCCCACAACCCTGCGAAACCTATGCCCTAAACCCTAAACCCCAAACGTCCAGTAAGTGAAAACCCTAACACCGAATTCAGACCCTGATCCCAACACAGACACTAAACCTCAAATGGTGAAGCCGCAGCCAAACAGAGCCCTTAACCGTACACCCCAAAACTCCGAAGCCCGTTCAATCTCTCAACCTTCCGGCACTGGAAGCTTGATCTTACTTGCCTAGTACCCTAAGGTTAACCTTTCGGATTATACCGTGGTTTTTATTTCCGCCCCAAAATGGTTCAAGGTTACTTACTCTACTACTGTGCTCAGCTCTGGCTCGGGGTTGCGAAACACCCTACACCCTAAACTCTAGAACCCTAAACCCTAAAATCCTACGGCCCTAAACCATAAAACCCTAAAGCCGTAGAAGGAAGGCCTGGGTGCTTGTCGAAAGCCTCAGAGGTAAACCTGCAAACCATCCCACACTTTAGATCCAGATCCTCAGCCGCCAAACCTGAAGCTTTTCTGCTGAGCGTGACTGGGCTGCCTATTGTGCCTCTCACCACATATGGAACCTAATAAGCAATATGAGGAATTCTGACCATAACAGTAGTAACGCGAATGATAAGTCTACAGTCGGAGGCCTCAAAAGGTGGGATGAAGGTAGGCAGGATTAAGGATCCATTATATAAGGACTCTTATTTGGGAATATCCCACCTACCTTCATCCTACCTTTTGAGGCCTCCGATACAGTCGTCCAGTATCCCCAAAACCTCAGAGCCGCGGGGCTTTAGGTTTACCGTCTCGGGTTAGGTCTGGTGACGACGATGCAGCTCAGAAAGGGTTACTCTTTCTTTCATGGTATACTTACATACATACATCCATACAGACATCCGTACATACATACCCATATATACATATCTATACACATGTGTATGTAAACAAGTCTTACCATGTGTATGTATATATATATATATACTGTATGTGGTGTATATATACATATATATGTACACACACATACATATATATATATATATATATATATATATATGTATATATGGGTGTGTGTAACTAATTATGTGTGAGCTCGTTCGTTGGTGTGCTACAGATAACAGACCTATAGTTTCCTCTGTAAACCCGCCTTTTGGTATGGGGTTTGGAATTTAGGATTTAGGGCCCTTTGGAATCCTAGAAGGTAACGTGGTTCTTTAGGGTTCAGGATTCTTAGCATAACCAAGCATATATTTGGGGTCCTATAAGGTAACAGCAACAAGGAACTACAGTTGAGACTCTGCCTAAACCCTGAGCTTGAACTCCAACCAGGCTTCAACTCGAACTCCAGAATGTGTTGTGCATTAGTGCTGATGCTAGTCTTCACATCGCGTACTCATCATCGGGGTCGCCGAGTTGAAGTCCTGTTTTCGGGTTTGAGGGGTGTTCAGCGTTTAGTGTTTCGGATTTTGGCCGGTTCGCCTCATCGACAGGTTCGCTGGCGCAATGGCAAGCGCTGGCAGCTGCGACGAATGATGTGATGCAATGAAGAGAGCCCACACAGGACTCTTTGTGCTGTATTGGTACTACTGACAGCTGAAGAAAAGCATTGGTCACGATCTCAGTATCAGTAACTCCTGTTGACTTCTGAGTACATCCATGGTGTCTTGCTTCTTGCAAGGATCGGTCTCTCTACGACAAGCAGCTTGTGGCTGCAGAACCCGAAACCCTCAGCCTAAAATACAGTTTTAAGACCGTAACCCGACACTCCTAAATTCGTAAATCTCTCAGCCTTGAAACATGAGGCCGACTCCATCAGCCCAGTAACATGAAGCGCATGCCCCGAATTGCAAGCTCCAGCTCTCAATACCTCCTACTTGACGGTTCATGGGTAGTTATGTGGGGTAAAAAAAGTTGCAAGGTGGCTTCGTGTAAAAATGGCTTCATTAACATTTGGCGCAAGTTTCAACAATGAGCGAAATACAATCAAACATGTTCAACTACTATAACGTTGATGTTCTTTTTGCGATCGCCATGCAACGATGTCACGACGCCCAAGGCAACCCATCGCTTAGCGACACGGCAGCACTATCTGTGCGTAGTCACAAATGAGTCTGGCAAACGGCGACTCTTCTATTCCACGACGTTGGGCTTGGTCGCAAGATCATTGACCCCGCAATGGCATGTAGTACCACAAGCACCCAAGCAATGAAAACAGAAGGGCTCGTGGCAGAGGACAGCATGGCACTCATACTTTCTTGTGGGAACGATGTGGCGGTGGACGTCAATGTCCTGGTCACGCTGGACCTGGTCGTGCTGGACGTCAGTGTCCTGGTCGTGCTGGACGTCAGTGTCCTGGTCACGCTGGACCTGGTCGTGCTGGACGTCAGTGTCCTGGTCACGCTGGACCTGGTCGTGCTGGACGTCAGTGTCCTGGTCGTACTGGACGAAAGCATGCTGGTTGTACTGGATGCCAGGGTCGAAGTCGCTGATGTTGTAGTCATGGTCTCTGCGCCTGCGCTGTACAGGTGCAAATCATTCCTGAAACTGCCGTCGTTCCCTCCAAACACGAGCATGCCGAGGCCGTTGGCCCAAACAGCGGCGTGGCCAGATCGCGCCGACGGCTGCACGCCGCTGGGCGTGAGGTGCTGCCAAGTGTTTGAGTCTGCACTGTACAGATGCAAACCATCATTCTTTCGAATACCACCAGCCGAGCCCCCCAACATTAGCATGCCGGCGCCGTTGGCCCAAACGGCGCTGTGATCAGATCGCACCGAAGGCGCCGTGCCACTGGGCGTGAGTTGCTGCCAGTGATTCGACACTGCAGTGTACAGGTGCAAGTCATTCCTGTAACTGCCGTCGTAGCCCCCAAAGATGAGCATCCCGGTGCCGTTTGCCCACACGGCGTTGTGATCAAATCGCCCGTACGGCGCAGTGCCGCTGGGAGTGAGTTGCCGCCAGGCACTAGCTTCAGACCTGGCAGGCTGAAGCGCCAGCATGATCATGACCGCGAACTGCAGCATGGTCTTGCCCCTACAGACAGAGAGGGTTGGCGCGATCGCCAAAGCTTTCTTGAGTCAAAAAGAAACGAATTCGTGAACAGCGCAGCAGAGTCTAGAGGCCAGCCCTTTTTGACAAGTTATGCCTAGACTTCATGTTGGTGTGCATGGCGAGAGGTGCTGGAATCAGTTCTTCGAACATTTTCGAATTCTTGGAAATGCGCAGCAGAATCGCACCGTTCATCCGGTGTCTTCGGACATCAACATCACCGCCATCGCCATCAGGATGAAAATCATGACTGTGCTCATCGTGACCGTCATCGCGACGGTCAGCAACATAGTATTCTCTTTTGTTTTCGTCATGAAGCCGTTTTCGGGAACAAGCGCTGCCGAAAAGCGTTTTCCTGTCTACTCCGAGCTGCACTAATGTGCAACGTTCTGTGGGTGAAACGCGAGAACTGCCAGCCCTTTGCTCGGCATTCCTCCGCTCGTGCATGGGATACGCCGATTCTGAGCCACGGCCTTGCGTGCACGTGTTGTGCTGGCAAGTGCCGCTGGAGGCCCCAAGATACTCTTATTTACATGCGGGAAAATCCTGCAGCAACGTTCCACTCCAGATTGAACAGCCCAGAGACTCCAAAACCCCTTAATTCAGAAATATTCCTTAGATCATATTAGGGATCCTACTATAATTTAAGGTATATTCCTTAATTCAGGGGTTTTGGAGTCTCTGGGAACACCCAAAATCGAAATCGAACCTAGTCAGCTTTGGGGTTGAGGGTGAAAAGGACAAGGGGCCAGCAGCAACTTGGATGGGGAAACCCTTGCGACAAATCTAGGCCCCCAAAGCCTACAGGCTCCAAAACAAAATCTTATACCCTACATATGGGAGGGTTAAGGGTTCAGGGTTATATACGGGTTTGGAGTTTGTGAGCACAGCTCAAATAGAGCAAGATCTCGTTACAAGCATCCCTCACAAAGTGCCCTTAATGATCGGAAACCAAGAAGGTGTCGTTTAGGCCGTTGGAGCGTCGCTCAGGTGAGTAAATGTGGTGCCTGTCCCGGCAAAGTCTTCCTGGCAGTGGCTGACACCACAAGAACCCAGAGACTCCAAAACCAACAGGATCCCTACTATGATTTAAGGAGTATTCCTTAATTAAGGGGTTTTGGAGTCTCTGGGAACTCCCACTCTGCATTACTATGCCCAAACCACCAAACCTGAAACACTAAACCCTCCCAAACCCTAAAAGCCCAAGTCTACCAAACACCTAACCCCTAGAAAGGCCCTGAAACCCAACTATCACAAAACCCTCCCAAGGCCTTGCAGCCAACCCCTTGCCCTCAAGACATCCAAAGCCACCCAGGCTCAAGGGAAGAGCCGGACATAGTATGGGAGCCTCAATAACTAGAATAGGGTTACACTACACTTATGATAAGGAACCCCCAAAAATAGTATTGGTAATGATGACAGGCCCCTATAGTAATAACATGGGAGCCTTGAAACAGGGTTGCTGACATAGAGCTCCTTCAAGGATTCTTGAAGGGATACTACAAGGGTGAAGTATAGGTGCCTGAGTCACTAGACCAGGGTTTCGGGAACTAATAATGCCGGCAAAGTATGGCGACTACAAACGGATATAATGAGCTATTCCGAATGAGCGATGCTTAGCAGCGTAAGGATTGGGGTTTAGGCTTGAGGGCTTGGCGTCTTGATTCTGACAGTTTGCTGAGGGTCTTAGGGCTTAGGATTTACTGCCAAAAGTTACGGCTAAAGACAGCATCATCGCCATCATCGCTATCAGAGAAACTTCATCACGCAGAAAACTGAGGCCTTGGCTCACGTTCACAGAGGAACAAGGAAGACAGCAACCGGTATCGGCCCAAACAACCGCGGCAAATCCAGCATCGCAAGCACGGAACGTACCAGCAGTCTGAGCAAATCCGTAAAGCGCTTTGAACCCGAAATCCTGTACAACCTATACAAAGGCTTGATAACCCTAAACCCTAAACCCTAAACCGTTGATAACCCTCAACCCTAAACCGTTGATGACCCTAAACCCCTAAACCATAGGCCGAAACCCTAAGACGTCCTCATCGTCGGGGACCAGATGTCCATGTCATCGTCGAGCGGTCCCTGGTCCTGAGGAACAGGAGTAATGTAGGGGGCCTAAGCATTTAGAATAGGGGTTAAAGCGGTCTAGTATAGGTAACCATTAATTAAAGCCCCCCAAAAAAGAAATGAAATCTGGAGCCAGAGCTGGAATGGGGCGGATGATCTTGTCCGTCCACACAACGGCTTGGTTAAGAGATCAGGATTCTGACCTTTTGGGTGTACTGTAATTAGAATAGGGTTTTGGCGGTGCCTTATTACTGCGCCGGTCCGAAAGTTCGTCGCACTCTATGTTGTCCACTTACAACATGTGTGTTCAAGACCCCTTTTCCCCGTAGACTCCTCCAGAAGTCCTCCGCCGGGAACAATTATAGTACTATAATTTCATTCCCGGATGATAATTCCTCCGCTAGCCAGGCTAGGGCATTCCTCACATCCCGTACTCCGCGTACTCCGTTCCGTGTTGCTAGCGGATGCGACGAAACTTTAGTACCGGACATGTATTACAATTATCAGAAAACTATCACCCAAAACCCTATTTCTAATTATTAAGGCCCTTATTTTGGGTAGTGCTGATCGCAATCGCAGCGGCAGGATGATCATCATCGGCAGTACATGATGCTCTGTCTTCTTCGCCGTGTCTTCGATAGAACGCTTACGAAAGAGTTGCTCAGGAACAAAACTACAAATGATGTATGTGATTCGATCCGAGTCTTCAATACGTTAGCCGTTAGCAGCCAGCGGGGTTTCGGGACTCCGTCTGAAAAGACACTCCTTGCAGAGCATGCTCCATGTAGGATGGCATCTTAACCACGAACCGAGAATCGCGGGAATGGACATTGTTCTCTGTTGTGCAATCTGTGCCTCCCGAATCTCCGCCAGTCGGCGACGCCCCAACTTGCCATTGTCCTTCGAAGTCTTGCCGCGCCCGAAAGGCCTTAAGTGCTCGTGTCTGCATGCCGCAACTTGAGCAGCGCGCACGCACGTAATGGCTCAGTGCATGCCTCAACCATTGGGTCCACGCCCTGCGACATCTGCTGCCACGTGGCTTGTAAGGCAAACGCATGTGCATTATTTCACACATACATACAATTGTACACACTAGCTACCTGTAGTGACGATGACTAACGTTTCTTGGCAGTTTGCTTAAGCAGGCTCAGCCCATCCGTCCACACCCAAGTGCATTCCTTTCCTCACTTTAGGGCTACCTTCAGCGGACTACTCACACCACGAAGCCCCCTACCCTCATGTACCATGAAATTTCTATGCACTGAAGCATCTGAACACAGAAGCCTGTCATCCAACCGGGCGCCCTTAGCTCCTGAACCCTAAACCCTTGGCCCCAAAGAATTTCATCCCTACACCCTTCATCCCTAAACCCCAAACCCTCAATCCTTAAACCCTAAACCCGCTTTTTAAAGGAAATCTGTCGGCCCCGGGTACGGGGGCTTTTTGACTTCGAATGGGGTATAAGTCGGTATAAGAGTATCATGTCAATAAGGGGGGCTTTAATTAATCGAATGAAGATATAGGAGTATCATTTCTAGTAATGATAATTCTATAGGAACCACAAGGGGGGGCATTTCTACAAGTATTTATCTCGATCCCCATATTGGGCTCCGGGGTCTTTGGGCTGGAAGCTGAATAGGGTTTAGGGTTTAGGGTTTCGGGTTCAGGATTTAGGGTTTAGGGTGAATTACAGTCAGTTACGGTGTTAGGTGCTCTTCCGGTCAGTGGTGGGGAGGTTGCGCGTTCCCCGAGACTCCAGAATTCCTTAGTCACGGAATATGCCTTAAATCAGAACAGGGATCCCCTTGTCACTTAAGATATGTTCCTTCGTTAAGGGGGTATTGGAGTTCCTTAAACCCTGAAACCTATAGATCCCTAAACTCTACACCCTAAACCCCTCAAAGGAACCCTAGGTTCAAGGGGGTGACTGTTGGCCGATTCAAGTGTCCTTGGGTGTGCCCGGCGGGGTGTTTCTGCTCGCGTGCCTGGGCGAAACTGGATCTGGCATGATCATACTTGCAGGTTCGTGGGTAGTCATAAGTGGGGTTATAAGTAGTATAACCGACGTTAGGGGGCTGATATCCCCGCCTATAACTGCCCATGAACCTAAGCAGTGGGCTTGGGCTTCAGTCCTTCATCAAGTGGCCTTTGAGGCAAAAAGTCGAAAGGAGGGGTCGGAGAACGTTACCCAATTTAGGAGACTGCCCCTCCCTCATATGAAACACTTAGAGCCGGCAAGCTGCATTTTTGGGCTAAGTGTCCAACCCCATGCTAGCAGATTAACGAAGTTGCTGTCTTCACATGAAGATGAAATATCACGCCATGCGCTTACAGGGTTTTGCGTCGCCTCGCCCTGGACTCAAAACAGGCCCCTAGCAATGCAAACCTCGTGGAGTAGCCATCGGAGATGCGATTGCAGACTTGGCTTCCCGAGTTTGTGCTCGATTCTGGGTTTACAGAGACCTCATCGGCAGCGGGTTTCGGCAAAGGGCTTTGTAGCCGGCAGGTACAAAAGGCAAACAACAGCTCAAGTGCTTGCTGGTTTCGTGTGACGACAAAAGTCATGCGAGGACAACTGGAAAGCACAAGTGCCGAACCTCCTAGCATCTTCAGCTCGTGGACCCTAGACCTTGTCATCATAAAAACCATGGAAATGAAACCAAGAACAACAGCAAGAAGAACCACCGAAACAAGTCAGATTGGACAAAAACTAGCTGCGACCACGCATCGCATCATACCCTAAACCCCACCCCCCGAACCCTGAACCCTGAACCCCAAAACCCTGACAAGGCAGACGAAAAGAGCCCCCCCGCTCTTCAGATAAGGGACACCACCTGAGCGACCGCTGCCTCTTCCCGTGCGAACAGGGCCTTGCTGACCTGCAATGAAGTTATACCGGACAGTG